ACACACACAAATGTATTTCATGTAATGAAATCCAATTGATCTACAAATGGTTTTTTTAAATTGAGCCGATTCTAGAATATACAAGAAAATTAAAAGGCCCTAGGACATCCACAAATTTTTCATGAAGAAAAATAGAGTGTGTATGAAACTATGTTTTAAGACATTATAGGAAGTTGGATATAGTTCAATAGTAGAGCACTTTCTTAGCATGCAGAAGATCCTGGGTTTAATCTCCAGTGCCAGAGCCCACAATATTGATTATGCCCAAAATCTGCAGTAAGCATTGCAGGCTGCAAAGAGTTAAATCTTTCAATTGGCTTACATTAAGAAGCGAGTCTGACTGAAACTATGTGATTCACAGAAGTATCTCATGAGCACTGCGGTAGTACACAGACCAATGTGACCTCCCCACTACTGGCCATGGTTGAGACCAGAGTCATGGCCTATGAAGCTGAGGGGCTAATACAAGATACCACGTGTTGCTGAGGTCAGAGCACATAGCACCCCAATTCCATCCCCACAATTAGTGTCTTCATAGCTTGAAGGACAATGCTCTAATTACAACCATATATTTTTGTCTATCTTGCTTCTGATTTGAAAATGCTTTGACTCTTCTTTTTAAAGCCTCACCTGTATTGGTTTCCATGGAAATTTCATGTATTGCCCATCTATACACATACTTTACTTTTTACCTTGTGTAGTGGATTGAGTAATGGTCAACTTGTAATGCCCAGCTGAACTGAGTCAGCATGGTCTGAGCATGGAGGATCCACCTGAAGATTGTTACCATTAGCCATAAAAAGAGAACTGGCGGGGAAGATCTTGGCCTGTTGATTTTCTGGGAGAAGCTTGCTGTGGATGGTATTCCTGATGTGAACCTGGGTGCTGTCTTTGGAGCAGGAGCTTGGGACCTCACTGTCTGTGAGAATGGCTACTGTTCTCATCAGGGGAGCTCTGATCTTCACCGTGAGCATCATTTCCTGGCTCCAATGTGGATCCATTAGCTTGGTGGCACAAATCCTTCATCTCACCAGTGTAGATTTTCTGGCTTCTACTACTGGTCTTTGGGCCTTCCAGGTGCAGATCCTCAATACAGACAAGCAAGAGACATTGCTGTAGGCTTGAGACCACTGGCTGGACTCGAGGAGGACAATGCCTTGGACTCTAAGTCTTTAGCTGGACTTCTGTGGGAAACTGCTGAGATCTAGACCCTCAGCTGAACCCTTTGGCCTTCTATTGTGTGGTTAAGCTCTTGCACTCCTTTGCATTTGACTTTTTGGGTAATTATTATAAAATAATCTTATAAGTTATGTGTCCTGCATTTAATATATTCCCTTGCCAAATCCTGCTGACTACAACACCCTGATTGATGAATAATAAAATTCGGTGGAAGAGGCAGCCCAGTGCCTTTTCCCCAAGGAGCATTGGCTGTCCCATTTCACACTTTCTCTATAACTCTCTCTTAAGGTTTTCTTCAACCTTGCATCGCACAATGAGCAGGTGGACACTAGAAACTTCCTGCAGGAGTCTCTGGCATCCAGCTCTGAAAAGTGAGTGGGAGGTTATTAAAGAACTTCAGGAAGATAGTGTTTTGCACCATAGCAACAAAGATAAATAAACAGAACAACCAAAAGAGAGTCCAGAAAAGCCTCACATATAACCAGTTATTTCTACAAAGATAGTAAATGGCATTATAGGTTTATATGCCATGTTTTCAATAAATAGTGAGAAGCAATTGGAAATGAAAATGATAGTAAGAAAATGTTATAGAAATATTGCTCCATATGGCATCAGATAAATATATGAATTGGTGGAATATCATAGTCTGCAGGTATGAGTAGGGAAGCTTCTGGAGAAAGGACAGGAAGATCCCTGTAGGGCCTAAAAGTAGGCAAACATTTACACAGGATACAAACATGCACACACAATCATAGGATAAAAATATTAATAAATTAGACTTCACTAAAAGTGATGAAGGAAATCATAGAAGAAACAAATAAAAAGAAAGATACCTCAT